AGCAGTATCAGGTATGGGTTCTATCTTACAGAACAATCAGACAGTGGTTGGTTACTCACACAACTGCTGGGGGGCACCGCCTGTGGTGGCCAGGTCCCAGAGTGAGGTAAGGAGTTAGTGAGGGAGGATTAAGTCAGGCTATGGGTTGTCAAATTATCTCACAGTCTGACTGGGTGTAGGTGGACTTTCTCTGTCTCTCCAGTCAGTTCTGTTCTGCCAGCCCACTCCCAAATAACCACACAGAGACTTACAATTCATTATAAATGCTTGGCCAACAGCGTAGGCTTATTTGTAACTACCTCTTACATCTTTAATTGACCGATACTTAATATCTATCATCTATCATGTGGCAGTACCTTTTGTCAGCATGGTAAATTCGTCCCCTGCTTTCTCTGTGTCTCCTCACAATTCCTGTGGCCCTGCCTTTCTTCTTCCCATTGTCCTCTCAGTTTGGCTCTCCCACCTAACCTCTTTCTGCATATCTATTTGACCAGTTAGCCCTTTAGAAAACCAATAAGAACAACAAATATTCACAGTGTACAAAAATATTGTTTACAGCATTTTCCCCTTTTGGTTTAATTAAAAATGAAGGTTTTACTTTAACAGTGAAATTATATATAACAAAACAGTTCTCAAGTAAGAATTAAAGATATAATATTCAGTCCATTTGTATTTGGCCAATTTAGAGAAAATACTCTATTATCTACCTTATCTTTGTGAGTATAAACTTTTATACCTAATTTACCTTTTAAGTAAGAAAAACTTTATCTAATTATTTAGTCCTTAACTCCATCAAAGATCCCAGAAGCGTGTAATGTTACCTAATAACAGAGACATCTGGCTGCCTGGACAGTCACCCAAAGTTCTTCTGTAATATTGGTGCATCCATCTTTGGCCTATAGGCCTAGTACATTTGACAGACATTTATGAGAAGCAGAGGATTTTTAAAGGACTGTCCTACCTTGTCTTGGCAAAGTTTGGCAGTCTCTTTTTTATGGGTGTCCTGATGGTCCATTTTGGACAGTATACTGTCTGCAATTGAGACAAGAGCAGTATTTTGCCCAAATGGCTAGCTTTTGCTATAAAGATGGCAAACTCCATACAGAGTTTCCGTGATGCCCATCATCTTCTCTGAAGTAAATTGGTGCTACCAGGAACAAACGTGTCTCACTGTTATGAAAAGCTTTATGTTATTAAAACATTTAAAATGCCATATTCTGTAGGTCTTTGAAGTGTTTGAAGATTACATATCTATCTAAATATATCTGTTTAAACTTGAAAATATACCTAATATGACTATAAGTTTGATTATTATAGATGACTAACTACTAGCCTGTATTTTTATATTATATGTTATATTTTTTTAAGATTTATTTATTTATTATGTATACAGTGTTGTCTGTGTGCCAGATCTCATTACAGATGATTGTGAGCCACCATGTGGTTGCTGGGAATTGAACTCAGGACCTCTGGAAGAACAGCCAGTGCTCTTAACCGCTGAGCCATCTCTCCAGCCCCTATATATTATATTTTTAAATGAGCTGCATAAGTATAATACTCCAAACAAAAGTAGAGACATACATACAGTATAACACAAATAACTTTAAATGTATATCAATAAACCAAAAACCATACCAATGTAAAATATTTTGAGATTAATAGTTGCTTTTT